ATATGTTGACCGTTTTCAAAATAACTTGTATTCTCAGGTAACCATTAAGTCGAAGAAGCTTCAAGTGTATTTTAGGAATCTTATTTTGAGAAATGACAACTCTCGTACAATTTATGTTTTGAATATGTAATATTAAACAATGTACTTGATGTGAACAATGCTGATTGTAATATGTAATGTTTGGCAATGATCGTGTTATGATTAATGTATATTCATTGTGATGATAATTCAATTGATAGTCACACGAGCCCTCGGACGTTTCCGCCGCCCGGTTCGAGGGTGTGACAGATCTAGAATTGCAACCACCACCACCACGAGGTGGTGGATGCCGCCGTGAGCCGTCGTTGACCACCACTACCTGAGGTGGTAGTGGGTGGTGCCCGGCCTAGTGGAACACCAATAGACCTAAAAGCTTAATTTAGGACTTGTTTGGCTTGTGTTTGGGTTAGAAACCCTAATTAGGGTTTAGGAAACCCTAATTTTGGAAGATGTTAGTTTTGGATTGCCGGGACCCACGTTTGGACTAGTGGATTGAAATATGACTTAAGCCCAATTACATTGTATGTTTGGCCTAGTGGAGTGATGGACTTAAGGGATTAAGTCACTAACGGGTTAAGCAAGAACATTTAACCCTAATCGTCATTTTATGTGAGAAACCCAAATTATGTTTGGGCTTCAAGATGGGCCTTCTGTTGGGCTTTAGTGATTGGGCTATTGACGGGCCATCGAAGAACAAGTATATGGACTAGAATATTGAATAGGGATTTAAGATAAGGCCTATTGGAAAGGCTTGGGTCCAATTTGAAAGTTGGGCCACAAATGGGCCATAATTGGGACTTGGTTGTTTATTTGGCTTTTAGGCCTTCAGGGTGTGAATTTGGGCCTTAGGCTTGAATCAAGCTAGGTTAGGGGTAAAGTATCATTTTACCCCAAGCATGGACATATGGTTATGTATTGGAACCCAATTATTAATTGGGTGTCGATTTGATGTTGACAGTTCAGGGATCTGTCAGCCAGCGGCCAGAGATTTATTCACGGGACTTCAGCAGTGTGAGGTGAGTTTTCCTCCAGTAGGAATGGGTCGAAAGCACCAATACCAGCCCATTTATGTATGTTAGAATATGTCAGACTAAGGTCCGATGTCGGGCTGCGTCTGATGTAGGTTTATATGTTTCCGGACTTCGGTCCAATGTCGGGGCAAGCCCGAGGAATGTTTATATGCTTCCAGATTTCGGTCTGATGTCGGGCGGGCCCCGAGGAATGTTTATATGTTTATGTTACGTGTTTAGGTTTATATTTATTTGTGATATGCTCATGTATACCGAGCTTAGCTCAATGCGGACGGGGCTCGATGCCGGGCGGGGCCCAATGCCGGATTTCGATCCGATGTCGCGCGAGGTCCGATGTCGGACATGTCCAATGCCGGGTGGGGCCCGATGTAGCGGGCAAGGCCCAATGTATGTCATAATGTGATTATGTGTATGGTATGTGGTAGTTTGGGGAGACTCACTAAGCTTCGTGCTTACAGTTTTCAGTTTTGGTTTCAGGTACATCCGGTAGCAATGGAAAGAGCTCTAGATGATTGCAGTGCACACACCATTTGTTCATTCTGGGATGTTTATACTCTGATATATTTGAAAGATGATATGATATTTTTGAGATAGATGACTTATGATTCTTATATGATGAATGATATTTATGGTTTTAATAATGATTTAACATGAAATTTTTAGACTGTATTTTTGGGATGTTTCAAATCCAATCCGATTACTGATTAGGCCGAGGGTAATCTAGCATGATGACTTTGACCCGAGGGTATTCCATTCTGATGACTGAGTGGACCCAACATGCATGATTATATATGTTATTTGTTGTGTGGTGGTACTTTGGGGGAACTCACTAAACTTTGACTTACATTTTTAGTTTATTGTTTCAGGTACTTCATATGATTGTAGCAAGGCGAATGTCTAATCGTACACATCCTTCGATGACATGTTTGGGATTTATGCTATATTGATCTTGGGGTTATTTATATTTTATAATGGGTTTTATTATGGGTTTTGTCAGAAAACAATGGCTTCTTTTGATTTGAAAATGAAAAACTTTATCGTGATTTTGGGATGTTACAAGTTGGTATCGGAGCCCTAGTTTAAGATGGATGAGCATTCGTGCGGATCCAGACTCAAACTAAGGATCTATAAAAGTTTTCAAAATGATTTTCAAAATTGTTTTCAAAAGTAACCACGGAGGACGAGATGTGTACGATAAGCCGAAGTAAGAAAGTATACCCCAAGTTACCTACATTGTTATTTGTTATTAATGATTATGATCGAACTGCATGCTAGTGATAGATTAAGGATCTTCAGGGATTACATGATAGAATTGCTTGATGTATGATGCCTGATAGCCTCGGAGAGATCTTCTTATATGTTTAATGAAATTGACATCATTACTATAGTTGCATAGTATGTGCATCATAGTTGTACATAACTAAGATTCTATAGTCTGAGAATGTTTGATTTAGACTTATTTCCTGTTCTTGTCTGATTAAGGGCTTAGGGTAGACTCAAGTATTTAACTGTCTTTAGGATCCAATGTTATGTATGATTAGCATGCACGAGTGGTTGTAGGGTTGGTGGAAGTTTCATAAGTGAGCATATGGGTGTAGCAGGCCAGTTGAGGAAGGATTTGCCACTCTTGAGAGAGTAAGGACAAGATTTATGAGTATTCTAGTTATGGGTTTATTTTCAGGCAGTTTGTGTTGATCCATTGCAAATACGGGTAGGTGTGGAAGGTAGTATGGACACGTACTACTGAAAGCACAAGACCTGTACGCGTAGCAAGGAAGTCACAAACCCCGAGGGTTAGTCTTGTCATGATGGTTATAGCAGTATGAATTGTGGCCTTTCTAATGTATATCTTTGTTTATTTTTTCAGTATAGTGATTACGAGAGGTTCTGGTTGGAAGGCTGGTGGCTAAGATAGGCTTAAAAATGTTAAGAATGCCAAGTCGTGGCCATCATCTCGCCACGTCGTGGTAACCAACAAGACATGCTTCTTCGTTATGTGTCATGGCCACCTTATGGTTATCATCCTAGCACGTCGTGGCATTAGGTTTTTCTCAAACTCATGATCTTTGAAATCTTTAAGTCTTCAAATGGTCAAATCGGAAAAGTAGATGTTATAGGCGTTTTAAATTAATGTGGTAAAAGAAACGATATATCTTTTATATACTATAGTATAGAAATAAATATTAATAAATTAGTGTCATAAGATGTATGATAAGTTAAAAACTCTTGTGTGCTTATTTTAGAATCACTATAAAGAAATATGAAAACACAAAGAAGTTTCAAATCAATATGATCTTAGAAAATTTGCCAATGTTAATATACATATATATATATATATAT